ATATATATATATATATATATAGGAGGTTAATTGGTTCAGCACAGCTTATCCAACACAGCAATGAACAGGAGAAAAACCTATCTAATTTTTTTTACCGGATTGTGAACAGAAGACTGTGTTTCACACAGTCTCCCAGGAGGCAAGGTGATGAACTAATCATGTTGTGATCTACGAGGTCACAGCAAATAATTAAGACACTTGTTACAGTGGTCTGTGTGGTGCGATCCTGTAGCAAGTCAGAATGGATTTTCCATAAATTCAAGAAAAGGTCCTTTAAAATCCTAATTTAAAACCTACATTTTAGCTAATTAAGAACAGTATGGCTCAAACTAATGCATCATTTCACATCTAGTGTATTGATAATCCTGAGTGCAGAAAGAGAGACAACCTTATTTTTTTTCTCCTGTCCTTAGCTCTTCCAATATCTAAGGTGTTTGCTGGAAAAGAAACACAGACACACTCTATTGCTTTAGTGATCAGCACTACAAAGAAAAGCATAAGACAGCTTGCATATACTCAGTACCAATTATCTGACATCTTCACATCATAAAACAGGTTTAAAATGCCACAGGGGAAAATGTTCTTAGCCAAAAGAAAGAATCCCCCCAAAGTGTGGTTAACGTTTAGAAGAGTTGGTCAAAGATGCTGAGAAATCTTTCAGAAGAGGTTTTTTTTTTTTTTTTTTTTTTTTTTTAATGAAGGTGAAGCCCCACATCTGTCATATACAACTTACATATGGATCTGACTAAAAACAAAATATTACAACACAATACTTTCCATACCCAAGATGTAATCTCAGGACTTTATGTACCTTATGTGGCAGTGATGATTAGCACCTATTTCATCAATCAAACTTCCTAAGTACAAAGAAATAAGAAGGTACTACAATTTAAAAGTGACATGAGTATCTAGTTTTGGGTTTTTAATGTGGTAAAAAAAATCCAGGCCAAACTAAGTTTCTAAAATCATTCTGAATAATTGTGAAAATGTCTGATTTAAAATTCTGGAAATTTGACTCTAGTTCTTTCATTTCAAAAAATGATTTGCAAAAATATTGCAAGATCTTCTTCATATTCTGAATATTCTTGTATTATTTCTGCAAGTCATATTATTTGCAATTTAGTTGCCAAAACTACAGCTACTTTTTTTATTAAGGTTTTCAATGTATTTAGGAAATCAAAGTGTTTTGGGGGTAGTTTTTATTTACCTATTCTTGTGTGAATAATTAGGAAGAAAGGTATAATAATGCTGAGTGAAGTCATTTTGCTCTAAAATATTGTTTTGTTCTAATTATCATCCTAATGCTTGTTTAATTAAGATCTAAATATATAACTTTAATTTAAATGCAGCTGAAAGCAGAGAATAGCAATTCAAATTTTAAGAGAAAAATGAGAAGAATTATTACACAATAATCATACAGTAATCATTCTCAGCTAAATATCATAATCATTATCAATAGATTATTTTATAATACATGTATATATTTCTAAACAAAACAAAGGGGATAATTATACCATCCCCAAAACAGCAAAAAAGTGACAAAATTAATTCAACTGAAAATAATATATGACAATTATGATTGATAACATATAAACCAAAACTATAAAATATCTTCAAATTTTTCTAAAACATTAAAAATCTCAAAAGCTTAAAAATTATTTTAGTAAATGGATTCCAACTTTGCAGAGCCCAAACAATAAAATACACACTTTAATTATTGCATTATTAAATTTGTTCAATCCCCTTTGGTTGTGTGAGAGAAAAGAAAAAAAAAACTTTTAGATGAATAATTTGGGAATTTTTTTTCTTTTCTGCATCATAAATGGGTAAATATTATAATATGGGAATTGTCATAAAAAATTATTCTTTATGTGAAATGACAATAAATACAATTAACTTGTAATATTATAAAAATGAGAAAAAATGTGCAAAATACTAAACACCATGAAAATTAACATATAGTTTCTATCAGTGTCTTCTGTTTATCCTCACTTTGTTTCAGATTATATAATACTGTTTATACTGAATAATGGATAGACAAACTATTAGTGATGTACTCTGATAAAATACAAATTAGGAGAATTTAAAGAGTATTAGCCATTCTATGATTTTGAATCTCCATAAATTAAAGTATTTCCCTACAGCCCATTGTAATAATTAAACTATTTAAAATGGTGAAGGTTTTCAATTCCTGTGACCACCACCACATCACACATGCTGTTTTACACATAACTGCTGTAAAAATAGACCGCTCATATGGGCACGTGACTTGTTTTGAATAGCTTCAGTACTTAAGGCTGTCAGTGCCTCAATCAGCACATTATCCTTACCCTCACGATTTTACAACTTAGTGATAAATATAGTAAAAGATGGCTTTTGAAGAACATTTTAGCAATTAACCATGAAATAGTCTTTTTAGAACAAACTGCTAAATTTAAATAACACATTACCCAGTAGTCAAATTGCATGCTTCAATTGGAAACCTGTGTGTTTAGCTGACTTACTAACATTGATTTACAGATACATTAGCAAACTATTATATCACAATATTGAGCATATTTAATTCATCACTGAAAGTCACTTTTTATTTGGTCAAGTGTGTGTATATATGTATATATATATATATATATACACACACACACACATACATATATGATTTAACTCTTACTTATCCTATACTTGTATAATGTCAACTATCTTAATTATCTTTCCAATTATATTTAACAGTGGAATAAAACCCATAAAAGCTTATCTTTTCCTGTTTTACAATGAATTCTATCTTTCGGTAAGTGACAATTTCTACCTTTTTAACTTTATTTTGTTTCTGTAAGAATTAGTTTTAAAACTATTATTTAGGTTAAAAACTACTAAAGTATGTGATCGACATTCATTTTATGGCATATTACTGCCCGACTTTACTCTTGGTTTCAAAACTGTTACATAGGATTATTAAACTGGAATGTCACAAGATCTCCATCAGTTATTTTTTTTTAAAGATTTTATTTATTTGAGAGAGAGAGAATGACAGATAGAAAGCACGAGAGGGAAGAGGGTCAGAGGGAGAAGCAGACTCCCCGCTGAGCAGGGAGCCCGATGTGGGACTCGATCCCTGGACTCCAGGATCATGACCTGAGCCGAAGGCAGTCACTTAACCAACTGAGCCACCCAGGCGCCCTCCATCAGTTATTTACTCAACAGTGTATGAAACTTTGAGAAACATCTCCTTCTCTTGCCACCTAATATTAGGTAATTTATTACCTAATATTAAGTATCATTGCTACTACAAAAGAACCAGAACAAGGAAACTCTTTTGGAGATTACAGTAAGTCAGAGAGTTGATCTGCCATATTTCAATTTTTAATGCCGTTATACAAACAAATTTCTCATTAAGAGTCAAAATCAATAAGAGTCAGTGTGAAAGGTGTAAAGATCTCATTAATAAGATTAATTAGTGTTCTATGTTAGCTATACAACAAATACTTCAGATGGTTATGGTTAACTGAATTAACAAAACTCAAGGAAAAGTTATTTTGCTTTTGTTCATTTAACTATTTTGAAATAGAAATTTTACATAATAACATTAGTATTAACTACTAATGTTAACAAAATTTTATTTCTTAACAAGGGTGGAGAAATGAGTGATCTAAATAGGAAAAAAAGTTTCACATTCAAAGTGCCCATCTTCCTTTTTTTCCCTGGAATGACAAAACAATATACTTCAAATCAAAGTTATATCCCTATTAGAAAGGATGGTAGAGATCAACAACTAAATAAAAACATGTCAACATTTTTCCTCAAAATTCCAATCCATCAAAAATCCATAAGCGACTAGTTATCTTTAAAGTTTACAGACTGGTAACCATCACTTCTCAAAATGAAAAAGCAGATTACCTCCATGTATTTCACATGTATACCACTCACTGTATAAAGAGATTAAACTTTGTTAAGTATAAGAACAAATATTTAATTACCTTTGATATATATTCCTGTTGTCCACAAATGGACTTTTATTTAAACACATAATATGTGTGGAAGGTACACGGTGTACATGGGTGATGACCCTTGAAATTAAGAATATTAATATTCTGAGGTGATGCACAGGACTATTTAAAAAATAAGTGTTACATCAGTATCACAAAGAAGACTGCATTCTATTGTTAAAAGTTTAATTACAGAAGCTGTTTTACCTATTAATAAACAAGAAATTCAACAATATTACTTCTCATCAACACTTCGTGAAGGACTTTTTGCATTATTACTAGGAAAGCGTTATTTCGATCTATGTTAGGTCATGAGTGTTGCACATACTAACAGATTGCGTATACGTGAAAACAAAACATACCACACTACGCAGTGTTTCAAATATGAAGGAAATCTTTTAGCAACAAACTATTATCACCAGATTGTGAAACTGAACAGACATCCTTGATAACTCTGCCTGCCTGTATACCCCACCACACCACCTTAGCAACAGGAGAGAAAAAACAGAGACTTTAAGTTTCCACAGAGTAAAAAGCTGTTGCTAAGCAAAAATTACAAGCAAAAATATAGAAAGCTGTGGCTTGTTTTTTGAGAACTACTTCACAAGTTTAATGATTTAATTGGTCCAGTTCACTTTAACGTAGATACCCAAACCGGATGAAAAGCAAAAACAAATCCCCGTGACTGAACTTGCAGCAAACCCACTTCCATATCCCACGCGTTGGCAGTTACCTTTCATACACCTCAAGTCAAAATCAACCTAAAGACCAACTGAGAGAGATTGTCTTCTCTTCCTCTTGACCTCCCTTATCCTTCTCTTCTAGTTTGTTTTACATTTCACCCATGTCATCAGTTGAGATCTTAAAACAAGGACTTTCTTAAACCCCAAAGTCTCGAGTCTTGTAATACGTGCCCTGCAAATACTTGGGAGAAAACCCAAGGCTACCACACTTGCTTCCTTGTGTCCCCGCGAGTTGCATTCTTACCAATCCTGTGAGCTTTCTCCGGATGGCACTTACCTGCTGCTCCCCGGGTTCTGTAGATTTCACCAAGTGCTTATCCTTGTACAGAGACCAGAGACCAATATTGGGCAGGAAAATTAAAGCCACCATGAATAACAAAGTCATCTGCAGAAATCTCTTCTGTTTCCTCTTCATTGCAAATGATAACAGAGAAGAAAAGTTAAAGGAGATGGCTCCCTGACTGCTTCTTGTGTTTAATGCCAAAGTCCTTTCCTCTCCCCTGCGAAGCACCAGAAAGTGAGGAGAAGCTAAAAACTTTTGTTGCGTGCTCAGCACCAATCTGCAGGATTCAGAGGGAGTTGGGCATCTGCAGAACAAACGCACAGTTACTTTCCCCCCAGAAAACTATGACGAAGGCATTATCTATTGGCTTAGAAGTAAATGACTTGACTGAGGAAATCGTTAAGCCTCTCTTAATATAAAGCAATGGAGTAAATATGGTCATTTGACACATAATCATAAGTTATGAAAGTCTATAGCATGCTAGATACGTAAGAACACAGCAGTGGTGGTGTTTTCCCCCCTTAGTGGGGGAGGGTTGCGTTGGGGAGGAGCGGGTCTGTAGGGGGAACTGCTGGGAGGAAGCGGCTCAGCCCCAGCAAGTGTCAGGAAGAAAAGCGTCCGCTTTTGACATTGGAACATCACCTTCCTCGTCTTCCCTGAACGTCTGTCTCCTCCTGTGCTCCCCCTGGGATAACCCACCTGAACTCAAGTTCAACTCCCTCTGAAGCCAGCGTGCTGGCGGGCTCCACACGGATCCAGGGACACGGGCACCGGAGCACAACTCCTATTTGGATGGAGGTCCACAAACTCCTGGATGCTCACGCTCTGTCTAAACTCTCCTCCGCAGGCAGCGGCTCGCGAGCTGGGAACCTGCTGGAAGGGAGGCTACAGATGTCAGCGGAGTCCAGCCAGGAAGTGGAGGCGCCGCGCCGTTTCGCCTCGCGCAGCCCTCGGAACGTGATCTTCCGCGAAGTAAACGCTCTGCCCATCAATCTCTTCCCCTTCCCCCCGTGACGCTCTCACGCTCCGCTGTTCATGTTACCATTCTTTTCCGGCAATTGAGCGAACCCAGAGAAACATCACGAGCACCTGAAGGGCGGTGTGTTCAACCTCGCCTCCCGCGAAGGGGATGGAGGGAGGCGAAGCCGAGTCTGCGCTGGTCTGGGCAGGGGCGAGGGCGCCGGGGAGGGCGAGCAGTAGGCGAAGCTGCGCCGCGCTAGCTCCCGGCCGCCCGCTCCTCGCTCGCTGTCGTCTGCCTTCTGCCGAGAGGCTGCTAGTGCCGACCACGTGCGGGAGCCCGAGCCCGGGAGGGGAGGGCGGGCCGCCTGGAGGGGGTGGGCAGTTCCTCCCAGCTTCCAGACCCTATATAAACAAACCCCGATGCGAAGAAGAAGGGGAGGGTGAAGACGCTGCAGGACGTAGACTTGCAGCTGCCAGTCTCCGCCGAGCCTCTCTTTCTCGGTCAGGGCTTCTCGGGGCAACCTCAGACCGGCATAGATACCCGCTCCCCCACTCATCTCACCCAAAAGGCGCCAGGCCAGAGACTCCGGAGAAAAAGTCGCCGGCGCTCGCGGGTTTACCCCGATTCCTCCATGGTGCCGGCGGGAGCGCAGCGAGCCCGGACGCGGCGGCGGCAGAGGGAGACCGAGGAGAACCGAGGCTGGGCCCGTCCCGCCGAGAGGGGCTTCCCGGGCACGGGTCCCGCCGCTCAGGCCAGGTACGTGGTGGGGGAGGAGGAAGAGGATCCCGAAGCGAGGCAGGGCTGAAGCTCGGGGTTCTCAGGCAGCAGCTTCTGGAGCGACTCCCGCGGAGACCCAGAGCGCTATACTTGGGTCTGCAAAGACCCGGGGCCCGGTTAAGATTTGGCAGTGCCGCCGCGCTCCTCCCCCGCCCTGCTTGTCCGCACTCCGCGCTCTTTCACTGCAAGGGCTACCTGTCCCTCCGACCTCGTGTACACCTCCCATGATACCTAGAAAATGTGGGGATCGAGACTTATCTCTGGCAGAAGGGACTCCTCCCTCTCCCTGACATATAGATGCACCAACGCCCCTGAGCGCACACGCACGAACCTGGGCAGCCTCTCCAAGAGACCTGCGTGCCTAGCAACGTGCATTGGATACTCTTGGGATCCAGAGCTCTTAACTCCTGAAGGAATGGTGACTTAAATGAGGCGACAGACATGCATGCAGTGCCCCCTTGTATCAGCCCTGTCTAGAACCAAAAAGAAGCGCCATGGCCATCTCTTTGTTACAGGCTAGATACGATGCCCACATACTTGGGATAGATGAGACTGTGGGCCCCAGAACGGTATTTTGGTATTTTCCCTCTCCCTTCTTTCCTTCCCCTCTTCTTCATCTCTCGCTCGCTCGCTCCCTGTTCTCCTCCCCCTCCCTCTGCCACCCACTTCTACTCTCTCTATCCGTGGCTCACTTGAGAGAGACACAGATGTGAGTGTTAAAGAGTTATTATGACTTCAACTCCTCACATTATGATTTTAAAATGCATTTGAACGATATATATTGGCTGTATGACTGCATGAATAAAGCTTTGTGCTGCAGTGTTTGTCTTTGTGAATCACTTGCGTTTCAAAAAGTATATAAACACGTTTCATAAGTGTTTTTAAATATGTCCTTTATGCAAAGACCAATTACCCTTCAATTTTTCACAAATCCGGAGAGCAAGAGGCTTAATTCCTCCACCCTTACACACACACACACGCACACACACACACACACACACACACTGCCTTTTGTATTCTGCATTATTTTCTAATCTTTTTCTCTCTCAGCAAGTGCAGTTCTGAAACATAGAAATATGAATTCTGAGAAGAAACATAGCATGGAGAGATTCTGCTGGGAGGCTTGGTCCTCAAGGAAAGGTTTGGGGGCATTATTTAAGTATATTAGACATTTTCTGCCTTATAGATGTTATTAACAAGAAATAAAAGTACTCAAAAGTAAACTTAGAATTAAAAAAAAAATAAAAATCCTTCACATTTTAAATAATGGTTTCTTCATACCCTCCCCCCCTGAAAAAAAGCGCTGGATCACAGATAGACATACTGTCATATTGTCATTCTGTTTGCTGAATCCAGGATTCTGACATGAATTATGCTTCATTATCATTACACTACTAAATGGTCTTGCAAACAGTACCCATTCCCAGAACACTGTTAGTTTCAGTGACTGGGTATAATAACTGTTACTTCCCACATCAAGTACATGCAGAATATATGGTAGAAACTAGAGAGAGAAAATTATTATGTTCACCCCTTTTACTGTGTAGCTCCAAACAATCACGTTTGCTTTTTTCCTCCATTTACTTATTTATCTCTTTATTTATTTGAATCAGATCATAATTTCCACTCAATCTGGTCTTCTTTTACAATTCCATATATAAATTTCCAATAGATGACAATGCTTCTAACTAAACTTAATATGTTAAGTTCAGTTTACAAACAAACAAAAACATAAAATGACAGTTAATTCCTTTGTTCAGATAATACAGATTAAATGGAAAGACACTTTTTTACATTAGTTATTAATATTGGTTTAATAAAAATCCTGTCTTTAAAAATTTGTCTTATATCCAAAAGCCCCTTTTTACCTCTTTTTGCTTCTCCATTTTGTTATTTATGATTCAGCTGGGAACCTCAGGTAATCAGAGTCCCATGTGTCTAGCAATGTGTTAATAGCTACAGGGACACATGGGAAGCAAATAGAGCAAGATCTGTGACCATGAATAATTTACAGTCTAGTTGAAAAAGTAATATAAAGGCAATTGGAATAAATTGGAAAGAAGTAGGATATTGCTCTAGTTATAGCTCTACTCCAAAATTTGATAACTTAAAACAGCTATCTCACTATCTCTCCTGATTCTTTGCATTTGAATGGTCTCAGCTAGGCAGTTCTGCTTGGAGTGATAAAGGCTGGGTCTTGGGGCTTAGATCTTCCTGGGCCAGGATGGCTCCCTCACATGGTAACAGTTGGTACCGTCAGCTGGAAGATCATCTGGGGCAGTTAGTTGGAGCCTCTCAGTTCTCTATATGGCCCCTCCACATAGCCTGAGCTTCTCACAACCTGGTAGCCAAGATCCAAAAGGGAACATCCCAAGAATCTGTGTTCCAAGAGGGAGAAAACAAAAACTGCTGAGTCTTCTTAAAGGCCCAGAATTGGCACCACCTCACTTTTGCAATAGTCACAGGACCAGCCCAGATTCTCTTGAGGGGGTGGTGGTAAAAGTATGGGGTTCAAACTGACATCTCAGTGAAATATTTGATGAAGAGTATTATGGCCATCTTTAACCCACTATAGATACTCAAAGGCACATAGGTAGGAATTCCTAAGGAAGGCCTAACCAGATTAGACAGTGGATGATGAGGTATATTGGGGAAAGGTGTTCATAGGTTGGATTGATGCAAATTTTTCAATTTCTACAAAGACAGTGAATTAACTTTTAGTTTAAAAATAGGTTTATTACGGGGCACCTGGGTGGCTCAGTCGGTTGAGTCTGACTCTTGATTTTGGCTCAGGTCATGATATCAGGGTCATGAGATTGCCCTGCAGTGGTCTCCATGCTCAGCTGAGAGTCTGCTTCCCTCCTTCCCCCTCTGTCTCTCTCTCTCTCTGAACCCCCCCATGATTCAATCTCTCTCTCTCTCAAATAAATAAATCTTTATAAAAAATAGGCTTATTACTTCAATTTCCAGTTATAAATACTAAGGATGTCATGTATACCACGATGACTAAAGTTAACATTGCTGTGTGATATATAGGAGAGTTGTTAAAAGACTAGATCCTAAGGGTTCTCATCACGAGAATTTTTTTAATTTTCTTTTACTGTATCTATGTGAGAAGATGAATATTAACTAACCTTATTGTAATCCTTTCATAATATATGTATAAGTCAAACCATCATGCTATACACCTTAAACAGTGATGCATGTCAATTCTCAACAAAACTGGAAAAATAAGTTTATTATCTTATTTAAAAGACTGTGACATGATTGGAACTTAATTGGAAAGAGAACGTTCACCTTGGATCTTAATATGGTGGGGTTTATTTTCACTGACATGAGTTTTTTCCAAGGTTTTATCAGAAGGAAGAGACGCTAGAGCATAAAGATAATGTGCCTAGAAATGGAGGTATAGGGGTACCTGGATGGCTCAGTCTGTTAAGCGTCTGCCTTCAGCTCAGGTCTTGATCCTGGAGTCCTGGGATGGAGTCCCGCATCAGGCTCCCTGCTCAGCCGGGAGTCTATTTCTCCCTCTGACCTTACCCCCCTCATGCTCTCTCTCATTCTCTCTCTCTCAAATAAATAAATAAAATCTTTAAAAAACAATGGAGGCATATTCCAATCTTCTTTTATCCAATGATGATGTCTGGAATATGAAAAATCTTGAAAGTTTCCACTCTGAATAAACTACTAGGATATTTTGTTATTCGTGTAACTTTAAGTTATCTCAGTTTTTAAAGAAAAATGAGTCTACAGTGAAAATCGGGAGTGTATTAAATAGCAATTTTAGTGAAATATATTTAAATTATACAATTCATTCTTGTGGAATTAAATTAAGACATATGTTATAAGAATCTTCTTCATTTTTTTTCTCTGGAATTTCAATGTTTTCCACTACACAGTAGAAGGAAATAAGAGCCAACTTAAATATCAAAATGGGATAATACTCAATCTCTATCATTGTTGAAATTCTTCACCAAAAGAGCCCTAAGTCAATTTCTA